CCGCCGCAGGCCGGCGACCCCGCCGTCCCCCCCCATTTCGGCACCGGACCCAAAAAAGAAACAATCCGCCCGCGGGTTATGTATCCGTGAAAACCGGTCATTAACGCCGGGCCGGAGCTGCCAGCCGGCGCTGGAGTCCAGCTGCTGCTCGCCTCTCCCGCCCACGGCCTGCCTGGGCCGCCCGTCTTGATCTCGCACCGGCCCACCACGGACCTCCACGCTGGCCGCCCGCTCGTGGGACCCGAGACCAGAGGAAGACCAGCAGCGCCTTCTGCCCTCCAACAGCCCCCCCGACCTTCAGCCTGCACACAATCTAAGCCACAGCTCCTGTGATGGGGGGGTGGGGGGGCAGAGAGAGAGCACGAGAGCAGGCCGGTGACTAACGGCAAGAAAGGTCTCAGCCGTGAGTCACTCTCACGCTTTGCTTTCTTTGTGCTCCTGCAGGAACCCCGAGAGAGAGAGGAGCCAAAAAAAAAAACGGACCACAACTTTCACTGCTCTCTCCCACTCTCGTCTCTCGGGCTGCTCTTTCGCGACTTCTCTTGTGCTTCTTTCCTGCCTTCGCCGAAGTCCTCATCCTCCCTGCTTTCGTTTTTTGTTCTTCTGAAAGAGGGCCCGGCCTTCCTGCTCTCTCCTGGTCCCGGCCGCCGGAAGGGCAGGGGTTACAAGGGGAGTCTGAATTTGCGGTCAGGTCTGACCTTCCTTTATGGGCCTGCTGTCTTGAAAATGGCCGCCCCCCTCCCCCAAAAAACACCAGGCTTGTCCACAGTCTGCAGCAGCTCCCTGCCCTGGAAATGCAAAGCACCTGTGCACTCTTCTGTGTCTCTTCCCACAGCCGGGTGTTTCATCAGCCCTGTCGAAGGCCGGCAGTGCACTCTTTCACAGGGATGAGGTCCGTACACCTGCTTCCATTCTCCCTCCGGTGCATTACCCCCCTCTCCAGCCACACACACACACACCTGCCTCCATCTTCCTCCCGACCTCTTCTCCCCCCGCCCACCTCTTTCTCCCCTCCGTCCCTCTTTCCCGGCTGGGCCTCCCCCCCACCTCCTCCTCCTCCTCCTCCTCTCTCCGGCTCCCCCCTGGGGCCCTGGATGCCTCCCGCATTCCTTCGTGGTGACTCTTGGTGTTTACGCTGACATCCTCTTTCAGCAGGGGCAGACAGCCGCGAGCAAGAGAGAGAGAGAGAGTTCGTTAACCCCAGGAACAGAGAGAGTGTCTTTCTTTTCGCCATGTGGAGCTGTCTGCCTAAGCTATGGGCTTGCACTCCCCGGTAGCTTTTTTTTCCCTAAGAGCAGCTCCGCGCCCCAATACGGGGCGGTGACAAAAGCTGAGGAATGAACACAGGAGCAGAGGAATTAACACACAGCTCTTACAGCTGAGAGTGAGATAGAAGACCCAGCTGAACCTCTAGTAAACACAGCAAAGTTTTATAACATTTCATCCTAAAGCAGTTTCTCTTTTAGGGCTACAGGGTCATCCTCCACTTGAAATGCAGCCTCCCCTCTCTGGCCCAGTATTGAATGTCTCTCATCTCTTTAATGACCAGGCTCAGGCTTGCTCAGCTTCTGGGCCAGCATCGCCTGGCTCGACCAACCTTTCCGAAAAAGTGGATTTGCAAAAGGCCTTCGGTGTGTCGTAAAGAGACCGCGGGTGTTGAAAGAATCTGACGCATTCTTGGGCAGTTAAGGTGAGGTCAGCTTTCTGACCTCCCTCTGAATCATTCTTATTGTGCCAGCTTTCCGGAAATGACCCATTGTGAAATCAGACCTGCCCTGTTGTTGGGGCTATCTTGTGTAATGCTACAGTGCTTGGCAATGAGCTTCTCCTCTGTGCGCCTACAGATTCGAGCTCAGGGGTGTCTGAGAAGATGGGAAGACTGCTCAGTCGGGACCCAGGGCTCTCGTCTCTGACCCCAGACTTTGAAAACCTGCTGAACTCTGAATCCTGAGGTGGGGATGTCGTGTCTCCTGGACTCCAGTCATTCTGCAAGCCCTAGCTGTGGCCTACCCTCTTCTGCTCTCATGGTCGCAGAGACAGAAATCAGAAAACCAGAATGGGTCACTGAGATTGAGAGTGAAAGAAAAGAAAAGCCAAATAAACGCCTGAGCAGCTCTTTCACTTTTCGCTGACAGAGATGAACTCAGGCGGCTGGGGCCGGCAGGCTGGTCATTGCATCACACAATATGAAGACCGACAGAGGAAAGACGAAGAGAGAGGGATAGATAAAGACAGGCTCTATTAACTACACCCCTATCAAGAAGGTCATCTTTTTCCTCTGCGTGTCACCTGTACGTTACCTACAAGGAGACAGTCAGCACATTCAAATGTCATCCGCTGCCTTCCTCCTTTGTCAACCTCTTGCATAATTTTCTTGCTGTGGAAATCAGTTGTACAGAATACAGTGTTCAGAACCTCGTGTTTCCTAGTACGAGCTCTTGTGCAATTCCACCCCCTCCGCCCCTATAAGAAACCGTCCTGCTTATGATACAGCTACCGTGACATATGGCTGTTCCTGAGTAGTTTGCATTTTTAAAACTCCTTCCAAATTAATCAGCCCTGCGTCGTTTTGCCGAACAGGAGATTTTTGTGAGCTAGGTGTAGTTTTCCCCAACACGCTCTCCACCTCCTCCTTGTGAATTTGGCAGTGCTGAAGGCAGCAGTGTGGGGTACTGACTGGGAGAATGAGAGTTCGAATCCCGAGTGCAGCAGTGCTGTTGTACTCTTAATCAAGGTATACTGCAGTCCTCTGCCTGCTCCGATGCAGATACAACTGTTGATCTGACTTATAAATGGAAGGGGGTAAAGTTTCTTGTAATTCTGGAAGTGTAATAAGAGTAATTAGTGCAATTATAAGAATATATGTTTCTGGGGCTTGAGGTTTTTAATGTTTATTTCTAATCACGTGACTTCCTGTGAAACGTACTTTTGAGCTGATTCAGGCTGCTAGTTAAGAAGACAAGAATTGGGTAATTATGAAACAAGGTTGTTTCCTTTGAAGTTCTGGGCTGCACTCTGCACAGGTTGTCTCCTGTGTTGGTTGGTGGCAGGCTTGAGCCAATGGATACTACATCCTCAGCTTGTTCGTCTCATTCCTCTAGGAACCCCATTTGCTCTCCAGACTGTCTTTGCCTTTCGGGTTGCTCTAAACACTAATATTACTAATGTTACAGTGGAAAAAGCCATCTGCTTTCACACTGCCTGGAACCCCAAACTGCAGCCTTTTGAAATTTTAATGGTTTGTAAAACCCAGCTGCTTTTTCTAATTCGAGGACATTGATCTCTTAGAAGCAGAAAAGACAGTTTAGAGGGTGCCTGAAAACAAACCCCAGAAAATTAGAAACATATGTTTAGAACATCCTAAAATCGTGTAGTCTTTAAACTTAGTACATTGTAGCAAAACAGGGTAAAACACGGGTGAATTTCCCAGGTGTGGGGTCGTCTTTAGGAGAAGCACATTCTTCGGATTCTCATGGGGAAATCGCTGAATTGACGGCACATGGAGACTCCAGCTCCCTGTGAAAACAGTCCCTGGGGCAGGGAAAGAGGTTGCCTTTTCACTGACCCTCATGGTTGAGTAAGACTGAGTATTTCTAAGACAACTGGCAGATAAAGGTTTTTGTTAGGCACAATAAATCCCCTTGTAGTGGGATAATGTTGGTCGTTTTCCGGGTCGGGACGCCAGTCAGTAAGAAGACCGTTATTGAGTGCACCTGGCCAACCGGGAAAGAGCAAACTGCATTCCTCGCTCTCGTCTCCTCCTCCTGTTATGCTCTTGCCCTCACGCGTAGCTCTCATTGCCTGAACGCAGGGAGGGGACAGCACACGGCCCCCTGCGATACTGCAGACGCAGAAAGGCTCTGCAGCAGGTGACAGTGCTGCTTTATCTCTTTATCTTGCAGCGAAGCGAGCCCAGTGCTGGTGCAGGGACTGCGCGCGGCGATCCTCCATCACGATGCGCCCCCCCACCCCCCCCGCACGCTGCAGGAGCCAGCTGGGGGTTAACTGCCTCTCTCATTCCTGCTTGGGGGGGGGGACGGAGACCAGCAGAAGCAGCTTTTAACAAGGTATGATCTCAGGGCGCTGGAATCAGGAGAGCCACTGGTGTTTACGCTGCTGAGCCTCTGCACCCACACCCAAACACCCACACGCCAACGCACCCACGTGACACCTCCCCCCCGCTCCCTGGGGGGGGGGTGTGGGGAGGTCACAGGAAACATTTCGACATCTTCAGTCTTTGCCTGACAGGGCAACATCCATGAGCCAGCCTAAGCATTGACTTCCATTGCTCTTGTCCCATTTGCTATACGTCGTAGTTAATCATCTGGGGTTCTAGCTGGATTAAAGAAGGCCGAGTCCTCCACTGGGAGCCTGTGGTGGGAATCAATTCACCTGAGAGTTTCCGTCTGTCAGTGGCCACCTCTGCCCAAATTAAACATGCACACAGCCGGCAAGTGCATCAGCTGAGAGAAAATCCTTATCCAGGGTAAGGAGCTGCTGCAAGCAGGCTCGGGGCTGGGAATTCTGACAGGAGACGGAACAACAGGACACTTGCACTTTGCATACCGGCATACATTTCGGCATCTTCAGTTAGACCACAATAGCAGAGCACCGGAGAGCGTGATGCTGGACACAGGGCGCAAAAGGCCAGCGACAGACTCGGGTCCCTGCTGACGTCTTTCCTACTCTTTACACGCTCGCCTCGATTCGAAGCCTTTCACTTGATCAGCACTCTCCTATGCAAATGGAGCAACGCTTGTGCTCGAAACACGAAGCTTGGGGAAATGAGAAAGAAGAGCGCTTGTCGATGGCACAGCCTTTAGGTTAGCCTGCCGTTATGAGTCACAGCTAGGGAGAGAAAAAAAAAAGAGATGTGTTTAGGCCACTCTGGGTTTTCTGTTCTGAGTACAGTGATTAAAGTCAGTTCAGCTATCTCCTTCTTTCTCATCTTTTGATTATGAGTAAAGGTGTCCCGTAACAAGTTAGGAGAATACTGTATAGGCCAAATGTAGGCCAAAGGAAAAAAACAGCTGTCCCTGATTGATGTTGAGGGCCCTGTTCACAGAAGGAGCTGTTGTGTGGTGAAATCCAGGGTTCCACTGAAGTCAGCCTGGCTGATGTCATTCACTTGAACAGCCTAACCACTGTACCGGTTTTATTTTGCCCTCGATCTCGCTCGTGTCGGTGGCTTTAGCAACTGTTTCTTTGGAATTCCTGAGATGTGTAAGGTGCTTCCGCGTGCATTAAGGTCACGTCCGCGTCGCGGCTGTTTGCCTTGGTGGCAAGGAGAGGGGTTATAGGCGTGAGGTCGGCTCTGTCATTGGCTGTTGCGCCTGTCAGTCAATGGGGGGGGTCAGTGTGCCTTGCTTGCATGGATTTGATCAACTTGAACAATTCTGCTGCAGACCCAGTGAGCAAACAGAGCCATCTGCCTCCTTCGATTGATTTTCCCACAGAAGGCAAATAGATGCGCCTCTGTGCGTGCACACCGCTACAAAAACACTGCCGAAGTCATTTAAACCCTTTTTAAGCTGGCCAGGAAAACCGTTCTGCTTACGTGGGATGTTACGGTTAAATCAAAAGGCTCAGATATTCATTGACGAGGCAAGTGGGCTAGAACAAAATCTGGACCTGAAGAAGGCTCCACGGCCGAAACGTTGCGTTTTCTTTCTTCTCTCTTTCAGCCTGGAATAAACCTCTGACTTGTTCCTTTGCAGCCTACGCATGCTGACGCAGCTCCCCACCTGAACTAGAACTAAATCTTCCCTTTTGGTAAAGGTGCAGTTAAACGTCGCACCAAGAACCTTTATTCTTGCACCTGGTACTTAACATTTATTTATATGTAAATATAGATTTTGGAATGACTCCTGCTGGGCTTTTCTGTGCTTCTAATGTTCAACATTCAATAAACAAAACGAAAAGGAGGAAGACTGCTGCCCAGCTCTGTTCCGTTCAGTGGGTGAAGTACCTGCCCCCCTGCGGGGCAGGAGCTGTTGTTAAATGCCTTTGGGGTGAATTACTGTTGCCCCTACTGCCGTTTCTCACACGCACAGGCAGCTCCTCACCCCACAGCTGACAGAGGCGGAGTTCTGGGTTAGGCAGCTGTTATGACTCACAAGTAGCCCAGTTTGAGTACTTGGCCCTGCGATCTCGCCTTCGATTTGTATTTTGTGTGTTTTAAATAATGAGATGAGTAAAGCTGATCCATAATAAGGTGGAGAACGAAGAAATGTAGGTCAGGAAAAGGTCAAAGGAGACGTGCCAAAGGCTTTGGAACTATTATTATGACTCCCTGCTGCGGGGCTTAGTCGTTCGGCCCAGTTTAGATGAGACTGTCTTTCTTGGAATGGGAGAGGACTGGGCCAATGGATGTGGTAAAAGGCTACAGAAAACCTGCCTGTATTTCACTGCACCAGCAGCAGGATAGGAGATTGATTCCTTTCTACCCCTCAGGGTGCAATCGCTCCCCGCTCCGGGGGCAGGGGCGGTGTGAGGAGGGAGAGGGACGCCTGCAGGGACCCTCGGCCCTGGGCTCCTGCTCGTCCTCACGCCTGCACGCGCTCGGATTCCTGTTTCCACTGACGCGCTCCGTGTCCGTCTACCTTTCCAAGCCCGAATGAAGCCCCCCCACAAGGGGGGGGTGGCACGTGGACCCCAAACGAGAATATCTGGCATCTGTCGTTTGGAAAGAAGGTGCCATTGCGGTTCAAACGAGAGGGTCTTTCCCTCGTCCCGTGGGCGTTGCTGTCACCCTGCAGACCAGATTTTCATTCCCACCTCAGTAGAAATCCATGCACAGGCACACGCTGCCAGTATTCATTCTGCTGAGAGAACAAAACGTTCACGCCACCTCCAACATGAAGGTGCTCCCCCTCCAGCGTCGCAGCTGCTGCGGCAGGGAGCCCCGCTCGTTAGCTTCAACAGCCTGATCCCATCGACACCTGGCCAGCCTGGGCCCTGCATTCTGACTACTTGCACTGTGCCTTCACCACAATTTCACACTCTTCTTCGCATTTCGCCTTGCTCTTCTGTTAGCGAAAGTATTCATAAACAATTAAAAATTCCTCACACTTATATAGCGCTTTTCTGGACACTCCACTCAAAGCGCTTTACAGGTCATGGGGATCCCCTCCAGCACCACCAGTGTGCAGCCCCACCTGGATGATGCACCAGTCTGCTCCCCACACACCAGCTCTCAGTGGGGAGGAGAGCAGAGTGATGAAGCCAGTTCAGAGATGGGGATTATTAGGAGGTCGTGATTGGTAAATCATCGAGAGGACAGTGCCCATCACTATACTGGGGCATCAGGACCCACACAGAGCACAGGGTGAGCGCCCCCTACTGGCCCCACTAACACCTCTTCCAGCAGCAGCCTTAGTTTTTCCCAGGAGTCTCCCCTCCAGGTACTGACCAGGCTCACACCTGCTGGGCTCCAGTGGGGCTGCCAGCTGGGAGCTGCAGGGTGATACAGCTGCTGGCTAGAAAGTATTGCAAATATCTTTTGTCCCTTCTCATTTTCTAGGGCAAAAAAATGTTTCCTTGCTTCACTTGTAAATTTACTGCGCATCCGGTTATTTTTAGCCTGGCAGCCTCATCTGAGTCTGCAAAAAAAAAACCAAACTGCTGCAGTTACAGCTGAGGGCCTGCTGTGTCAAATTTAGATACCCTGAGACTACAGCGTCAGCATCCCAGCAGGTGCAAACCACTGTGAGTGTGCAAATGTAGGGGGTGCTCTTCCCTTTGGGGACCAGAATGTCAAGACTCATGCCCCACTGTAGTGCTCGTTATGTTGTAGACAGGGCTGTCCCCCAGATGAGATGTTAAAGTGAGGTCCTGACTACTGGTCATTAAAAATCCCTTATTTGTTAATCCCAGTGTCCTGCATAGATCCCACTCTGGGCTGGAAACTCTGGTCTCCCTTAAATTTGCCCTCAATTCCATGGGGGAAGCACGTCATTCTTCAGCTGATTTGGTTGATTGATGACTGATTGGCTGATTTGGTGCTGACTCACTGATTTGGTGCTGACTCACTGATTTGATCTCTTCCTTGAATCCGTGAAGAATCCTTTGGGGGTGAAATGTGCTGTTCAAAGGGAAGCAGTTCTTATTTTTTCCAGCTGTTACAGGAAGGGTGTTTTTAACGTGAGATGCAGACGTATCGTTGCTGTCATGTTCCAGACTCGTAAGACATTTCCTTTTTTTCGGGGGGGGTGGCATGACTTGGGGAGCCTCGAGTCCCATTAATAAAACATCAGACTGTTCCAAAACCTCGAGCTGACAAGCACACAGCGCACGAGCCTCACGTGAGTGTGGGATTTGGGTTGTGACATACCCCAGGAAGACCTCGTCAGCTTCCCCTGGGGTTTTGACAAATTTGCGTTGGCAGTTTTGGGAAAGGAAAACCCCCGAGCATGCAACCGAGGTGACACAAACACAGCAGCACTCGGTCGGTCAGTCGCCTGGCTGTCTTGCTGCCGCCGTTGCCTGCAGGGGCCGAACCAGGCGTGCACTGGAGGTCTGCGATGGGCACTCACACCGGTCACTCTTTGTCCACTCCTGTGAAGACCCGTGAGTGTGTGAGAGAGTGTGAGTGTGAGTGTGAGTGTGAGTGTGAGTGTGAGTGTGAGTGTGAGTGTGAGTGTGAGTGAGAGTGTGAGTGAGTGTGAGTGAGTGAGAGTGTGAGTGAGTGTGAGAGAGTGAGAGTGTGAGTGAGTGTGAGTGAGTGTGTGAGTGTGTGAGTGGATATCAACTCCCGGGGGGCTGACAGAAATGCCCGCTGGGGCGTCCAGAACCCCTGTGGACTTTCCGGGCAGAATCAGACATTTTTTGCAGTCCTCCTCCATCAGTGCACACGTGTGCGCGCGCACTCCTGGCACACAGGCCCAGAGACTGCGGTGTCACGCCGTGAAAGTGCCAAACCGACTGATTCCCTGGACAGGAAAGGGCATGAAGCGCGCGAGCCAGTGGCGCTGGCTCCTGAGTGGATCCGAGTTCAGAACAATTTTGTGCTTCTTCTCCCGCTCCCTCTCCATCTCTCTGCCTTTGTCCCCTTATCTCCCCCTTTCTGCATTCCTCAGTGTGTGGGCGGGTGGGTGGCTAGGAGCTCTGCAGCTCAAAGGGGTGGGGGTCCCAGCGTGGATGGGGGGGTTGTCTCTTTCTCTCTCTCTCTGCTGATCAAAAAGCACAACCTCCAGTTCTGAGAGCTGAGGCGTAGGGAGGCAAAGCTCAGGCGTGAGCCCCCCGGTAGGCTGATAGCCCCCCGCTGCGATTACTAGACAGAACTATTCCCAGAGACGACGGGAGCCTTCAGCTCCAGCTCTGCTGTGACTTTCCCAGAGGCCTGGAGAGGGAGGGGAGGGCTGTCGCACTATCGGCGAGAGACCCCTGGTGGCCACAATCCGCTACTGCACTCACTTCGGGACTCGGGGGGGGGGAACCGATTTCTAACGTTGCTTTTGGTTCTTCTGGGGCTGCTGCTTGGAAGTCGAGATGCATTTTAAAATGAGCTTCCAAGGAGCGATTCCAAACTCTGGACTAATGCTCGCCTATAAAGCACTACTGAAGTCAACACGATCCGTTACAGTTAATACAGTATAAAAGAAATCCAAGCAGGCATTGAAATAGAACAAAAGGTTTACTCCATTTCTTATCTTTTCAGCCTGGAATAAACCTATTACTTGTTCCTTTGCAGCCTACGCATGCTGACGTAGCTACCCACCTGAACTACTGAAATAGAACTTTTTTTTTTCTTATACCAAAAGCAGACTTTCATTAGACACCTGCTTATTTTAACTCGGGTAACAACGCTTCCAATTTATCTTTATCTACTGTTATTCCCAGACTGCATTTCACCAGGTTACTGGGGAAGATCCGCCTAGTTGCCAAAGTCTGCCATGGAGCGATTTTTCTCCGTTTCAG